TCTCTGTTATATTTTTTGCTAATTAAATTATGTTATATTTCATTAACTATTGTTGTGGGTCACATACTTGCAATGCTATCCGATTTTATAGGAAAATAGATTAACAAAACGGAACAGTAAATCGAAGCGTCTACCTCTTCTAATGTTTCTCTTTACAAAATCAAGTACTTGATTACCAAAAAAAAATTCAAAATATGAATAAAAACAGTTAAACTCGTGCGAGGGATGACAAAGAGTAAGCAACTATTACATATTTATGTTAAATGGGGAAGGAGAGGGATCCCTTCCGGCTCCAAGATAAAACTTTAATTAATTATTAGAGTGTGTGATTTAATTTAAAGTTTTGAATTTTTATTAATCGGACACTCTCATATCATATGCTATGTGTAATGTGCATTTATCTTTTACCTAAAGATTTGTTCTCGTTTTGAAAAAGAGCCTTTTGTCTAGATAACACAATTCATCAACTATTACCATGGCACTACCAAAGAAGAAAAAGACATTGACACATGGGTCCACAAGAGTCCAATTTTTTCTCTTTTTGATGACACAATAGTCCAAATTAAAAGAAAGAAAAGCAAGAAGAAACTTGCGGTACAACAGAAAATGAGGCCCTCTCATTCTGCCTCTCGACCGATCGCGCGTTCGTCTCAATTGATTAACAAACAGCGTGTACTTTACTCATCATATTACCTGGATCAATATACATATCATTTCCAATACCTAATTCGATGGCTTATAGTTCGCATTGTTAGTACACTCCCCCAGTAGTTATATCTACTATTTCTAGAAGTTTCTATTCTGATTTGGAAGGATAGAGTGTTTGCTGACAAACTTATTAGCGCTTCAAAACTAATCCCTCTCCAAACCATTTTAAGTATGCACTCCTTGTATAGGCCTGTTGCAAATAAGGAACTAAACCACGAGCAGTGTTCTTGGAAATCGGGGGTTTTGTTGAGTTTTGCAAGGATGAAGAGGAGACCAGAGCAGGTGCAACTGCAAGGGCCAATTACTGTGGTAAAGCGAAGAAGGTCGTCAGGAAATTTGGTCTTGCTTTCGGACACGGACCATCCTGGCTCCATGTTTGGGCCGATGGACGATGCTTTGGAATTTGTCCACCGCGCGCTGCCAATTTTCTCCTCCATCTCAGTGCACAAGCATCGTTCGAGAGTCTGGCTGTCATAAAGGTAGCCGAGCAGAACTTTCGCCTGCTGACTCGCCTTTCCAATCAATCGCATTAGAACCGGAACACCATTTAACTCGATTATCGAATTCGAATGCTCCGATCGAAGAAAATTATCTCCACAGACGAACTTCTGCAACGTGATAACAGCTTCCTCAGCCACTTCGTGGTGCTTGTTTCTAATCTGCGCCACCAGAGATTCAATCACTCGAATCTCTCTCACTGGAAAAATCCTAGCCATAGACCCAATCGATCTGATTGCCAGAATCTGCAACTCAGTATCCGCTGATTCTTTGATCACCCTCAATAGCTCATCAATGACGGCTCTGACACCCGGTAAATTAGTCTTAAACGCCGAACGTCTGAAATTCGCTTGTTGTTCAGCGGTGGCTGCTATCTCCTTAACAATCATCAAGCAATTTAACTGCAATTCATTCCTTTCCTTTTCTATTAACTTCGCCAAGCACATCAATCCGTTCCTCTCTGTTATATTTTTGCTAATTGATTCGTTTTCTCGCGCAAGCACCCATAAAGCTTTTGAACAATTAAGCTTCAGCTGGAGTTTTACCTCCGGTTTCGCCGTTTCCCACTCTTTCTTCTGCATTTTAGCGCGATTACTCCCCTCGAACAACCAATTTAAGAACAAATTGGTGTACCGACTGTCAATCTCCGAATTGAGCCCGGCGGCGTTGTGTTTGTTGATTTTCTTGTTCATCTCATAAACAGAGTAAATGCTCTGTTTATGCTTAAATTGTGGGATGAGTAGTTCGGGCGATAACTCAAAAGACAACAATTTCACCAGCGGAGCAACCACATGCTCCTCTGCGAAAGCCTCCTGCGCCTGGGGATACTTCTCCGCTAGTCTCGCAACCAGACTCGCCGCCTGGATCTGAACCCTGATGGGGGAAGCCCTCAATAGATGAACGATTGCTGGAATTCCGCCACCGGTCATAATAGCCCTCACTCTCTCTTGGTCATCTGAGAGAATATAAAGTGCATTAGCCGCCGCAATTTGCGCCTCCGGCGGGAATGTGTCTCTGAGAAGCTTTACCAGAAGAGGGATTCCGCCTTCTTTCTCGATTATTCTCTTGTTCCTCTCGTTTACTTGTGCAAGCGAAGCAAGATTGTTAGCGGCCTCGATGCGATTTTTCAGTTTACCCATTTTTAGGGTGGTGATGAACGACCAGACCCATGAAAGAACGGGGTCATGGATTGCGATTGGAGGCAAGGATAGATTCCATTCGCCGGTGGCACAGCCGGTGTATGGGTCGAAGAGGTTGAGCAACCAATTCAAATTAGCAATTGAAGATTCCAAAAGAGTGAAGATTCTGGAAAAATCCGTTGTACGATTGCCGATGACGAACCGGCGAAATCGGGTCCATCGCTTGCACTTCCGGACCAGGGCCAGTGCTCGCTCGAGGTTTTTGGAGACTTCAGCGACTATGCAGACAATGGGCCGCTCGTATAGGATCTGAGCACCGGCGATGTAATCGTTCAGATTCTGGAACATCGGCTTCAACGTACCCACTAAGTACCCAACTCGGTTGCACTCCTTCCTGAACGAGTTAGCCTCTGCAACCGCTGAGTTAACTCGTTCAACCATCGAAATCTGATTCGCCACCATAACCTCCTCCTCCCTTACTTTTTCCTCCGCCGGCCCCATACTTGAATCACCAGGTAATTGCATCCTTTCTTCTCAACTTCTGAAGTAGTCACTTTTTCCTGAATTTCCATTACTCCACTTTAAATAAAATCTCGCAACTTTAGGATATCAACTCGCTCTCCAATCCGAGAGGAAGGTAGCTTCCAGACAAAATCGTGCCACCAGGTAATTTCAAGGAAAGAGCGGAAGATGACGTTATCTCTCTCTCTTCTTCTTCTTCTTTTAAAGAAATGATAATAGCATTACAATACCAAGGTTTTGGCAGTAAACCCAATAAAGTTAGCAAATACATAAAAGGTTCCTATTAAGGGCATATTTGGTGCAGCTCCTAAAAGTTTCAGATTTTACACATTATTTATTTCTTATGAATTTAAATTTTTTTTAAAAAAATTTATAATTTTAAATATTTTTTTAACTTTAAAAAGCTCTTAAACAGTAAAAGCTCAAAAGTTTCAAATCTAAATTTTTCATAAACTCTCTTTTTACTTACTTTTTACTTACTTTTTCACCTTTCTAAAAGCTAAAACTTTATTTTTCCTCCAATAAAAATTTAAATTTATCACTCATAACAGTACTCAAAAAGCTAAAGCTCCCACTAACCACACCAAACAGGCTCTAAGTTGGGAATCATACAATGTTATTTCTCTTTCACATGCATATTTTATATGGTTTCATTACTCCCCTTCCTAAGCGACAACAAATTAATAGGCTAATTTACGTGCGTAGTATATAAAATTAATATATTCCTTCTGCCTAGTGGCGAGTTGATTATTTCGGACCAAATATTGAACTTGACATTATTTTGTAAAAATAATGAATGGAGAGAGTATTTATTATTATGAGATGAAGGGAGTAATAGTTAATAAATATATTTAAAAAAATGTATATTAGTTATCCAAGTAAAAAAATTAAGTGAAAAAATATTTAAAATTATGTAATAAATATTTATTGTGAAAGATTAAAATATATTAATTTTTAAAGTAAAAATGATATTATTTTAATGTTTAAAATTATTTTATTAAAATGACATAATTTCAAATTTTTTTATTTAAATTTTTTTCATTTAATTATTTTTATATATCTAATTAATAAATATTAATCTTATATATTTATTATAGCTTAAAACAAATAATTAAAAAACTTAAATAAAAAATGATTCATTTGGCATAGCAATCTTTAAAGCTGGTTTTAAATAAATTATTTATTTAACTTTAAAAACTTTTTGGAGGAAAAGACAAGTTTTTTTTTATTTTTTTGATCGTAGGAAAAGAAAGGGGAATCCGAGTGTAAAATTTAAATTTTATGTATGTGAATATTTTTTGTATTGGGGTGGTCAATAAATCACAGTATAAAAGACAACCAAATTTTATACGTGAAGAGCAAACATTATTAAAAATTAAAATAGCAACAAAATTTGAGTCAAGGTTCTTAAAATCGGACCAGATTGGTCGGTTGAACCGATTGAACCGATACTTGGTAATAAAAACGGTTCGATTTATATAAAAAAATCATTTGAGGTCAAAAACCGTTCAAAATCGATCAAAAACTGTTTAAAATCGATGAAATCGATGGAACCGATAGAACCAAAAAAACCACCGATTCAATTTCTCATGCAATTTTCTTTTTATTTTTTTCAATTTCACCCTCACCATTCTTTTCTTATATCGATTTTAACCCTTAATTTTAATAAAATTACAAAATTACCTGCTACTCTCATCAGATTTTCCTTGTTATTTGGATTAGCCAATTGACCGATTCAACTGGTCAAACCAAAAACCGGACCAAAAAAGATTCAATGACCGATTCAATTTTAAAAACCTTGATCTGAGTAGTCAGTTTCTAGCCGTGTGATTTTTCCTTTGGCCCTTTCTTTTCTTGGGTGAGTTAGTCGAAGCATGGTAAACTTCACGGAAGCAAGCATGGCAGACCGCGCGCATGATAAGAAGTTTGAATCGGGAACTTTCCTGGCGCGACTGCCACGGATGGCATCACAAACTTTAAATGCTGTTCTGAAATTGCCCAACAACAAAACCTCTATTTACCCGACGACCCGTCTCTAGATTTTTATTTTTATTCATTTATTATTATTATTATTATTATTTGTCCTTTCCACCCTTTTTCTTGGAAACTTGAAATCTAAGTCGTTGAATTCCCACATTGTCGGCAATTAGGTCAATAAAATAT